TAATGATAATGATAATGATAATAATCTGAAAAGCAAACAACAGTAAGAAAAGATTGCAGTAATTTACTGATACTATATGTATTTAGAAAGCAGCCCTAAGAAAATACGCGCGCCGATTGATTAAGAATCCTGTTTCTATAACTCGATAGAAACACAGAACTAGCACGCAAAGAGAATTTACATTTTGATGATCAAAGTAAACAAGTTGCTTTCCTTTTTTTCGTCGCGGTGTTTTCTAAAATAAATAGAAAACATGTTCTCCGTGTTGCTATCGAGTTTTAGTATAAATCTAATAGCGTTCTATCACGATTGCTACTCTCTGATTGGCTACGCTACTCACTATCTATTCTGTGATAGATAGTGAGTTGCGTAGCAGTGTGTGCTTGTTAAAAAATTGACGGGCGCTTCTTGGCGTTTTCGAAGTCTCTATGAAGAGTATTTAGGTAAAGTTTTGAACGACTAGTAGATTTATACTAAAACAATTAGATCATCCGCTCTCGATTTCTATCGCGTGATAGTTGACTCGGGCTGCGCCCTCGTCACCTATCGCGCGATAGGTATCTCGAGCTCATAATCTAATTATTTAATAGAAACACTCGCAAAAGCTTAGAAGAACTGCGGCTCGTGGTCCCACAGCATTTCTCGTTCTCCCAAACTTCCACTCGTGTTTCTATTAAACATTAGATTTTGAGCTCGAGATTTCTATCACGTCAACTATCACATATAGAAATCGAGAGCGAATAACCTAATTGTTTCAGTATAAATCTACTAGTCGTTCAAAGCTTTATCCAAATCTCCTTCACAGACACTTCGAAAGCGCCAAGAAGTGGCCGTCATTTTTGTAAAAACCGCACACTGCTGAGCTACTCACTATCTATCACAGAATAGATAGTGAGTAGCGTAGCCAACCAGAGAACGGCATTCGTGATAGAACGCTTGTAGATTTATACTAAAACGTGATAGAAACACGGTACATGTTTTCTATTTCTTAAATATCGATATCGATATGCACTCTGTATACATATTTTGTCGCAGGTTTAGATGCCTTGTGACAGTAGTTCAATTTTTATTATCATTTGATATTTTTTTCTTTCGCTTTACCTTAAATTGTATCCTTCTGTTGTTACGGTGGCACGACGAGTTCCATTGTACAAACACAGACCCTCTTCATTGCTTGTTGTCTTTGCCCTTGGTGTTTCTAGCATAACATCAAGTCCCCACCTGCCTCTAGTTATTACAACCTTCGTTCCTGATGGAAAAAGCACCTAGAAAAATACATCCGTCCAACAAGTAATCAATCAAACACTCAATCAATAATCATTCAATCAATCAGTTAATTAACAACTCAACCTTCAGCAGCTAACCAATCGTTTATATTTCACACTTGTTTTCATAAGGCGAACTGAGTATATTGGTGAATATTTTTCGAACCGAAGGCAAGGTGAATATGAAACTAGCGTCCACCGATCCTGGAGCGAATGATTGTTTTTAATAGGGTAAGCCGAAGAACAGAGAGATCGACAGCTAACATTATAAGTCCGGGTGCGGGTTTTCATGCGTACATGATAAATCACTTGACAAGTGACCAGCTCAATTCCAGTAAAAGTTTGCAAGTTCGCATGTGAAAATTGGCAACTTTAATAAGAAAAATAAATTTAGTTTAATTTGGGCTTTCAAAGGGTTCTCCCCAAAAATTGTTATATTTACTTATTTTGAATTCATAAATTCAAGCCTGTAGGACCTGTAGAGATCGGCAAATCCATAAATCCATAAGTTCAGGAATCAATGAATTAATTTGTACAGGAATGTACAGATACATGAGTGGAAGCATGTACGACGATCGACTATGTACTTGCATATGCCCTTGAACCATGTGCCTATTTCTGCGAGTCTATAAATACACACGTATTACATTGTCACGTGAATTCATAAGAATTAATCCACATTCTTATGAATCTATCCGTTCCCATGTATTCAAGAACCTACGAATTATAAATCCAGGAACCAGGAGTCCATGAATATATGAATCTAACGTCCACCAGAACACACAAATAGGACCCGGAATAAACGAAAATACGACTACATGAAACATCATTCCCTGAATCAAACGAGTATCACACTGTTCTTTTTTAAATCAGAATATTGTTTTTTTCTGGCCATAGCTGAATATTCTTATTTCTCTGTCAATTTTAAGCTGAAAAGATTCTTGTGTATATTCTTAGATTATAACGTATGCATTTCTGTTTTCTCATGTCTTTGGTGTCTGGATGGTGTTAAAGTAATTTTGGAGCCAGCCTGCGGGCATCAGAACCTGATTTCACGCAACTGCTGAAATGTTATTGGCATCGAACATAAGGTTAGTGCTGTTTTTGCTGCTTTTTGGATAGTTTTGCCTTTTAGAAAAAGAAAGAATTTTATACGTTTTAGTTGAAAACATATAATTGTACTGTACCTCAACCAATTTTCGACATACAAAATTATACTCTTTTCAAAAGCTCAGCCTCTGGTTCATTCTTAAAATATTCTCAAAATTTCACAAATTTCATCCTCGATATTCTTATAAAACATACCCTTAATTTCAATAAAATCCCAATCAGCTGATCAGTCTCTTGAGCAATGTTTTCAGATGTCTTGAAAATGCCCTATATTTAAGAATAATGCACTTACCTCATATTGGCCATTAACCGTTCCTGGATATTTATTCTTAATGGATATTCCTGGTGCCAAACATTTTTTGCTTCGTATATTGAGTGTTAGAGGTGTCGTGGTATCTCGATCCAAAATTGCATTGCAGCAGCTAAGTTCAATAACGTCGTTATGATCTCTAAGAACTACGCCGCAATTGCAGCTGACAATGTATTGGCCCCAATTGCATGCCCAATGTCTTACATGGACCTATAGGGAAAAAACATATATCATGTCAATTGCTTTCCACTCGACTGATAGATAGGAATGTCCTCTCCGGGAAAGATCCGAAAGCAACGACTGCATTTACAGTTCAAGTTAAATTATCACTCTTTTCTGTATCGATACTTTTGGGAAGTTCAAAAGTCAAGAGCTTCGAGTGGAACGAGTCGTACAAGTCATTAAAATAGGTTTGCTAATTGAACGATTGGTTTAATGCAACAGCACAGCTATAATATATAGATTTAGGCCAGCCTAAAATCGTAGCTCCTAGCCCAGGTTGTTCAGATCCCGATTAAGCCCACCTAGAATGAAATGGAATTTTGATTTTGAGCTTTTTGACTTTGTTATGAGGTTTTCTGTATATTGTTTGGCCTTCTGTTTTGAATTTTAATAATCACAAAATGCACAAAGCAAAAGCAGTAAAAAACATTTGCATAGAAGAAAAAGTTATAATTTCGTTAACTTTTAATCAGGATTAGAGGTAACGGACTTCTGAACAACCCGGTTCTGTTTTTAACAAGACATGAGCCCACGATCCAAGCAAAAAAAACCAGCACTTGGTCAGCGGTGAAATTAAAAAAAACACGTGACCTTGATGAGCTATAAACTTGTGCCCGCGATATGGTCTAGTAGTACTGGTCAGCGGATACCTTGTTTTGACAGGTGTCAATTGATCATAACATGGATGTCAAATATCATAGAAGTACACGGTAAACCAAGGCTGCATGTCTCTGTCAACCTATTATTTGGAGTATGGCCGCAATCTTGCGCGACTCCACCGCCGCCGTGCGCGTACGCGTGATAACCATGAGAAAATCAACTGTCATTGCATATTTAGCCTGAGCACGTTTTAGGTGCCATTGGCATACCGAACAGATCTAGACAATCGCGAATTTCGTTTGTAAAATATAAATTCATTTTTGACTAGGCGTCGTCCTCATCGTTGCTTAAGCCTGGTTCACACTAGCGACATAACGACATCGACATAAGGAAAGATCAGTTTTATCTTTATGTCGTTGTGCTCATGCTGTTATGTTGCCAATATTTCATTACGTCTACATCTTCACACTACAAAGATAACGTTCTTTGTATGTTGTTGTTATATCGCTAGTGTGAACCAGGCTTTAACCAGGCTTTAACCAGGTTTTAACCAGGCTTTAACCAGGCTTTAACCAGGCTTTATTGTCGCTAGTGTAAACCAGTCGACAGAGTTCGAATTTGCCTTTGCCCAGCGCAAATTGTCGGCATTGCATGATTGAATCTGCCAGCGATTAGGGACGAGCAAAAAGATGTCATATTTAATAATTTTTCAGTTATATTCTGAATGAGAAGTGATGTTGCTGGACTGGAAAGCGGATTTGTTTTTATTAAGCCCGGTCATTTAGATCAGTCTTGAATTTTTTGCTATTCTGCATGTAAGCTTATGGTATCGGGA